GGGGGGGGGGGGGGGGGGGGGGGGGGGGGGGGGGGGGGGGTGGCGCCCAGGGTGGTAACGGAGGATTGGACGAGCCTCACGATATAACTTTACAGGCTCGTCCTCTGGGTCTCAGTTTGCCCCCTTGTAAATAAGGTAAAACTGGTGAGGGGGGGCGGGGCGAGAAAGCGAGTGCCCTCAGGGATCTATGAGGGCACAGGCTTTGGGGCAGCTCGAGCGGAGCCAATTCCGCCCCGGAGTCCTCCGAGTCGCCGGAAGTCCCGCCTCCTCACCCTGCCCCATCCGCCATCCGGAAGGGAGAGGCTAGTGCGGCCACGCGTAGGAACCATAGACCCAGAAGGAAGCTGCTTCTGCGCAGCCACAACGGCCCCGCTCATGCGCAGTCGCGCGAGCGCGCACCAACGAGACGCGCGCTCCTCTTGGCTAGCCTAGAGCGGCCTCGCCGGAAGGGCTCCTTCCTCTTCCGCCGGAAGTTCGTGGCGCAGCTGTTTCGTCGTCTTCAGGCGCTGCCGCTGATTTTTCGGTATTTGTGTGTGAACCAGCGAAGGGCACTAACCCTTTGCCAGGCCGGGTCTGGAATCCGAGCGGGCTGGCATCTCGGAGCCGCCCTCCCTGCTCCCAGCCGCCCAGTGGGCTGACTTAGGGTTCTCTTCGAACTCCTGCCTCCCTTACAAGCTTAGTTTCTCCCTCTGTAAAATGACAGTGTAACACTAGGTGGTCTGGGGTTCTAGGCCAGATTACTTGGCTCTTTGATCGGACGAGGTCTCTGTGCCTCAGGTCAAGTTGGGATGTAGAATCTGAGACACGCTGAGTCACAGAGCATTAAAGCTGGAAAGGACATGGAGTCCACCCCTCATTTCATAGATAAAAAGCCCAGGCCTCGTAGGGAGAATTAGAGAATTATCATTAGAGGTTATAGACGAGCAGAGAATTAAAGGGCACGTTGGGATTACTTTATCCAGACCCTTAATTTTTTACAGAGGGGGAAATGAGCCCAAATACAGAGGTGGGTTTTTTTGTTTGTTTGTTTGTTTGTTGGTTTGTTTTTGCGAGGCAATGGGGTTAAGTGACTTGCCCAAGGTCACACAACTAGTAAGTGCTACGTGTTTAAGGCCACATTTGAACTCAGGTCCTCCTGAATCCTGGGCCGGTGCTGTATCCATTGCGTCACCTAGCTGCCCCCCAAATACAGAGTTTAAGTGCTTTGCTCAAAGTCACATAAATGAAGGTCAAAGTCAGCATCCTAACGCAGAGCTTCTGACTCCAAATCAGCGTTCTTTCGATTCCTGTCCTTCTTGATTAACCTTTTTAGATATCAAAAAGTTTCTTGGACCCATATGTGGTAATAATGGCTGCTTGTACTGTGCACTGAATAAAATCTCGAGTCAAATCCCATTGTGTGTGGGGCAGCTAGGTGGCGGAGTGGATAGAGCACTGGCCCTGAAGTCAGGAGGAGCTGAGTTCAAATCCGGCCTCAGACCAAATACTTGATGCTTACCAGCTGTGCAACCCTGGGCAAGTCGCTTAACCCCAATTGCCTAAAAAACAAAACAAAAAAAAAAAAAACCTTCCCATTGTGTGACCTTGGGCAAATCACTTATGCTCCTGGGGCCTCAGTTTCCTCACCTGTAAAGTGAATACTAGCGGATGTTTGTATGGCTCTTCAAGATTTGCAAAGCACTTTACATGTTACATAATCCTAACAAGTCTGGGAGGTGGATGATATTGTTACCTCCTATTACAGCCTGAGAGAGGGAAAGTGACTATCCCAGGGTCACACAGTTACTGTCTGAGATAGAACTTGAGCTTAGGTCTTTCTGACTCCAAATCCAGCACTCTTATCAACCACACCACTTAATTGCCTAAAGATTAATAACGTAGATTAATAAACTGGCAGTACTTGGTTCAGATATTAAAAAAAAAAAGCTGACATTTGTATGTGCCAGGCACAGTGCTAAGTGCATTACAATTATTATCTCATTTGTGACCCACAACAACCCTGGGAGGTAGATGTTATTATGATCCTCATTTTACAGATGAAGACACTTAGGCAGACAGGCGAAGTGACTTACCCAAGGTCATATACCTAGGGAGTGTCTGAAGCTGAATTTGAACTCAAGTCTCCCTGACTCCAAGGAACCACCAAGTTGCACTTGCCTATCCGACAAGGTTTGGGGGTGCTGGGACCCTAACAATGCCAAGACAGAGTTGCCTGGAATGAATTCACACACTCAAGCCTTCTCTTAGTCAGGTGGCAAAAAATGTATTGAAACGCTTTAGCAAAAGCAGGCAAGGGTCCTTATAGAACCTTCCAGAGAGTAAGGATGGTACTGGGGCTTATATGGAAAAGGGCATGGGGAAGGAATGGCAGGGACACTGATGAGGTAACCTAAAGGTCCAGGTGTCTTTGGGAGCTATGGATGGGAAAGTGTAGGGAGTATACAGACATTGAGGGAGTTGTCAGAGGCATGGACCTTGGGGATCTGGCTGGAGGAGAGTCCTTGGGTCAGCCAGGGACCCCTCTCTGTTTTGATTAGAGAATGTGTTCTGCAACAAGAGACATTTTCTCACAGGACAGGGACTTACTGAGAAATTAGGAGGCTTCCAGAGATGTGATCTTAAGGCTGGGGCCCGAGCACCCCATCATATCCACCATAAAAGCCTTCTCCATGAAGTGTTCCTTGATTTCTCCTCCTGTCCAGTCCTAATGAGTATATGCTTCCTGCGAAATCTCGACTTTTTTGTATAGACCTCCCAGTGTGTCATAGTGTAATTCACAGGCTCATGTATTTGGCACCAGAAGAGCCTTTCAAGAACATCTAGTTCATGGGAAATAAGATATACAGGCAATGGGGCATGGAAATCTGTCCTGCCCTACAGGAAAATAGAAGGGGAAGGGGAATAAGAGAAGGGGGGAGGGGTGATAGAAGGGAAGGCAGATTAGGGGAAGGTGTATTCAGAATGCATGCTATCTTGGGGTGGGGGGAGGGGCAAGATGGGGAGAAAAATTGGTACCCAAAATCTTGGGGAAGTGAATGTTGAAAACTAAAAATAAATAATAATAATAATAAAAAAAGGACATCTAGTTCAACTCTCCCATTTCACAGATGAGGTCATTGAAGCCCATGGAACCAAGTGACTTGCTCATGATCACAGAGGTAGTAAGTGTCAGAGGCAGGTGAGATTTGAACCCAAGTCCTCTAAATTCAAATCCAACTCTCTTAAAGAAAGATCCCTGGGCTCCGGAATCAGAGGACTTGCTACCTGTGTGACCTTGGCCAGTCACTTATCCCCCTTGGGCCTCCATTTCCTTAACTGTGAAATGAATAGAGTTGGACTGGATGGACTTTGAGTGTCCTTCCAGCTCTAGAAGGTGGTTTGTGGAATGTTAGAATCTCGAAGGTCTTTGGAGCCTTCCCCTTCATTCGGCAGATGAAGAGAGGAGAGGGAGGGCGGTGAGAGGGCAGAGGACATGCCCAGGCCTGCAGGGCCTTGGAGACAGGGTGGACATTATGATTTATTTCTGATGACTGGGGACCCTGACAGATCTGACAGGATCCTTCTGGAGAACTGGAAGAGTTTGAAATAGTGTCATTTGCTAATTGCCATTTCTTTTCCCTTGTAATCATCTTTTTGGGGTTTTTTGGCAAGGCAATCGGGGTTAAGTGACTTGCCCAGAGTCACACAGCTACTAAGTGTCACATGTCTGAGGCCAGATTTGAGACTCCAGGGCTGGTGCTCTATCCACTGTGCCACCTAGATGTGTGCCTCCCCTCCCCCACAATGACCTTTAAAACCTCATTCAGTCCAGACAAATGTGACACTTTGCATCAAAGAATTGCTTTGTTTATTTTTGTAAACTCAAATCCAGCATCCTCAACCCCAAGGAGCTGGATGACATTTTGTAGAGGGTCCAGCTCAAGTTAGCAAGTCACTTCTGGACCTCAGGTGAACAACGTGAGTCACCTGTTTGTGTGTCTTACCCCGCCCCCCCCCAAAACGTCAAGCTCCATGAGGGCAGATACTAGATTTTCTTCAAACTCGTTATTTTTCCCCAAAGGCTCAGGCTTTGCTTAATCCATGTTTGTTGAATTAAACACAATTCTCTGAGCATAATAGGGAGAATATTATTATCCCCATTTTATAAATGAGGAAACTGAGACTCCAGGGTTTGGTGACTTGCAGCTGTATTCGTCCTTGGCTCTCCCCTTGTCACGTAGCATAAGACTTCTGAGGGCAGGGCACGTGTCTTGCTCATCTTTGCTCACAAGTGGTTGGTAAGTTTTCTGTTCACTCTTAGAGGCAGGGTGTTGTAGGAAGCTGACCTTGTAGTTAGGAAAACCTGGGCTCTTGTCCACTCTACACATACCGGTTACATGACAGTGGGGTAATCAATTTAACTAATTGACTTAAAATCGCTGCCTTTCTCAGCACCCCAGGCAATCCCCCCAAACTAAGAGCCTTTGCAAATTCCCATTGATAAAGGGAGCTTTGTTACTGGCAGTTCCTTCCATCAGTGAAGCCCCATTTGTATCTCTCCTACCGGTGTAAACTACTGAGGGTAGGGACTGAGTTTTATCTCCTATGTCTCTTTGTGCAGCCCTGAAACAATAATGTTCATCTTTTTTGAGTGAGTGAATGAAAATTCCACTTCCTTCCTTTGCCCAGGATTTTCAGTCTCTAAACTGGACCTGGCCTCCTGGCTGGACTAAGAGAATATGCTGAGGGTCCAAGATCTGCAGGACATTGAGAGCACAGGAGCCTAGAGAGGGCCCTGCTTTGGTGAGTGAGGAAGAGAAGCAGGTCTACATCAAATTCAGATTGGCAGGAGACACTTCGGTCCTCTCACTGGCTCTTGGTCGATCCATCTGCCTGAGGCCCAGGTCAGAACAATCCTCCCCAGCTTTGTCACTTCTTCCCTAACTGATCTCCTAGACTAGCACCAGAGGAAGATTAGAGTACAGAGAGGCGTGAGGTCAGAATCCTGCCTTCAGCACTTCTTAGCTGTGTGACCCATAGGATTAAAGAGCTGAAAGTGACCTTAGACTTCTCTGTTTGAGGAAAGGGGAAGCTACCTGCTCCTGAGGCAGGCCATTCCAGAAAGGGAAGGTTGGCGAGGTCTCAGGCCTAATCTCCTTTATAACATCCTCCATTGCTTTTGCCTTCTAGGGTGAAACAGAACAAATCCCATCGCTCCTCAGAGCCTGCTCTTGCCCCAAGACTATGTGGAGTCAAGCTAAGTATTCCCACTCCATCAACTGATCCTTACATGCCTTGGGCCATGGTCTCACTGCCTCTGCACATGCTCCAGCTTATCCTGTTACCTCTGCCTGGTGAAATGGCTTTTTCTTTAATAAAGCATCCTCTGAACCCTCCCTTTCCTCAGCTGAAAGCCCTCTCCTCAGATCCTCCTGGCCCACTTCCTCTGTATCTCATCTTTGCCCGCATCACATTCTCCCTTTATCAGATGTATTTGTAAATACTTTGCATTCTCATCTTAGAGTGTAAGCTCCTTGAGGGTAGGAACTATCTTTGTCATCTTTTTATCCCTACTCAGTGCCTGGCACACAGTAGGTGTTAAGCATTTGTTGCCATGACCGACCCTATGTATTTCTTTCTTTTTCATGCTGGTAGTTTTAACTTTTCTCCCCCAGTATTGAGACTATATAGAGTGTGTGTTCCTAGACAAGTTATCATACCTCTCTGAGATGATGTCTAGGCCTTAGTGTAAAGCTTGCAAAATACTTGACATGTTATCTCATTAGTGCTCTACAACCATTGTCCCCAATTAACAGATGAGGAAACAGACTCAGAGAGGTTAATTGTCTTACCAAAGGTCACACAGCTAATAAGTGGCTGAGATGAGCTCTCTCTAAATCCAGCCCTTTCCATGTGTACCAAGCTGCCTGTGCATAAACCTCTAAGTGCCATCGAAATGGGGACTGTTGTTATTAGTCTTCCATTTCCAAGATGGCGCTCTTCAGAGAGAGAAGTTGAGGAATTCTATCCACCCATTCCACACCACTGTCAAACAGAACAGGCTTCTGAGTTAGGATGGTTTTGTTTGTTTGTTTGGTGAGGCAATCAGGGTGAAGTGACTTGCCCAGGGTCACACAGCTAGTAAGTGTCAAGTGTCTGAGGTCAGATTTGAACTCAGATCCTCCTGACTCCAGGGCCAGTGTTGTATCCAACACACTGAATTAGGATGTCAAACAAGTTGTTGAGCACAGCTAATCTTGGGAAAAGATTCTGAGAAAGCATGATATAGTTTACAAGACCACAGAATACCAGGAATGTTGGAACTCAACACTTTTTATTAAGTGCTCTTTTCTTAGACAGTTAAGAGATATACGGAAAGGTTACAAAGATGTTGGTCCAGCTTTTCCAAATCTCCAGAGGCTCAGATGCCAACACATCTCTACACTGGGAGGTCATGTGCGCTTCATACCTCTCCCATCCACTGGCACTTCAACAGTATGGACATTGTTCATGCCATTTTTCCTGCCCTCTTCTTCTGATGCATGACCCTCCCATACCTTAGTACATTTAATGAGCTGCTATAGTCACTCGAACACAAGAGCGCACACACACACACACACACACACACACACACACACACCCCTTGGTGGCTAACCCTCTCCAAACTGAGGTCATCATCATGTATTACAGTTCTCTATGTTATATGCCGTATCTCCCTATAGTCATGTAAGTGCCAAATCCTCATTTAGAATCTCTCGGGTCTAGAACTGTTCTGTACACGTTAGAGGCTTAGCAAATGTTTGTTTAATGAACGGACTCTAATCCCATCGGATCCTAGGTCTAGAGGTCACCAAATCTAACACCCTCATTTTGCAGATGAGGAAACTGAGGCTGACAGGAGTGAAATGCCTTGCCCAGGGCCACAGAGCTAGTAAGTCAGGATTTCACTTTGTCTTCCTGACCCCAAATGTAAAAAAGCCACATATCTGATGGAATAACTCACAATGTATATGTGTATAGACTAGAGCTGGAAGACCTGGGTTTAAGTCCATCTCGAACATCGTGGCTGTGACCTTGGGTAAATCAATTAATCTCTCAGTGATTTAGGCAACTCTCTTAAGATTTAGTAAATTGCAGAGAAGGTGCTATTGTGTTTCAGTAGAGGGAGTTTACTCACCTGGGACTTCCCTATACCACTGAAATTAAAAATTCAATCCTTATCTCTATTCATTAAGTTTATGGGATTATTCTCTAATATGAATTCTTTGATGTCTAATAAGGTTTGAACTCCCACTAAAAGCTTTTCCACAGGCATTACATTCAAAAGGTTTTTCTCCACTATGAATTCTCTGGTGCTTAATGAGGTCAGAACTTCTCCTGAAGGCTTTCTCACATTCATTACATTTATAAGGTTTCTCCCCACTATGGATTCTCTGATGTTGAATAAGATCTGAACTCCACCTAAATGCCTTCCCACATTCATGACATCCATAAGGTTTCTCCCCACTGTGAATTCTCTGATGGTCAATCAGGACTGAGCTGGCCCTGAAGGCTTTCCCACATTCAGGACATTCGTGGGGTTTCTCTCCTCTGTGAATTCTTTCATGCTCAATCAGAGCTGAGCTCCCTCTGAAAGCTCTTCCACATTCATGACAACCGTAAGGTTTTCCTTCAGTATGAATCCTCTGATGCCGAATAAGGTATGCATTCCTTCTGAAAGCTTTCCCACATTTGATACACTCATAGGGCTTTTCTCCACTGTGTATTCTCTGATGGTTGATAAATGTTGAAATCAATCTGAATGCTTTTCCACATTCATGGCACTCATAAGGTTTCTCTCCACTGTGTATTCTCTGATGTTGGATTAGATCTGAACTAGCCCTGAAGGCTTTCTCACATTCATTACATCCATAGGGTTTTTCTCCCGTGTGAATTCTCTGGTGTCGAATTAGGTGAGATCTGCCCCTAAAGTCTTTTCCACATTCAAAGCACTTGTAAGGTTTCTCCCCACTGTGAATTCTCTGATGCTGAATAAGGTATGAACTCCACCTAAAATCTTTGCCACATTCATGACATTTGTAGGGTTTTTCTCCTCTGTGAATTCTCTGATGTTCCAGAAGGGCTGAGCTACCACGGAAGGCTTTGCCACATTCACTACATTCGTAGGGCTTCTCTCCACTATGAATCCTACGATGCTTAATAAGGTCTGAGCTTCCCCTGAATGTCTTCCCACATTCACTACATTCGTAGGGCTTCTCTCCACTATGAATTCTCTTATGATTAATAAAGCTGGATCTCTGCCTGAAGGCTTTGCCACATTCAGTACACTTATAGGGTCTCTCTCCAGTGTGAATTCTCCGATGGTTAATAAAGCTTGAGTTTTGCATGAAGGCTTTCCCACATTCAAGACATACATAGGGTTTCTCTCCACTGTGAATTCTAAGATGGTCGATGAGGCTGGATCTCCCTCGGAAGGCTTTCCCACACTCTTTACATTCATAGGATTTCTTCACACTTGGGAGTCTCTGATTTTTTCTAAGTTCTGACTTTTGTTTAAAGCTCGGGTCACATGGATCATAAGTGTGAGTTTTCTCTTCCACAGCATCTCTCTGAAATGTCAGCTCAGTTTTTAAGCCTGGGTCACTGCTGCCCTCCAAGGCTCTCTGACTAGTGATCACCTGACTGCCCCCTCTCTCTTCCATGTTTGTGCCTGCTGGGCCTTCCTTCGGGCTCTCTAAGCTGCCCTCACATGCAGAGGCCTCTCCTGAGTCACGGGCCCGGGGAACGGGGAACATAGTTGTCTGGGTGTCAAATCCCGTGCACATCTTCTGCTTGGCAGCAAACTCCTTGTTCTCTGCCTCAGCTGTGTCACCTGAAATGCAAAATGAAACCCAAATGACCTCAGAATCACCCTGAGAGACTCTCCATCCCCAAGTTCTTGCCTCTTGTCCCTTCTGGGTCCTCCCAGCCCCCAAAGCCCTGGACAGAATGGCCCTTTCCTTTGGTCCCCATAGCATGAGTAGAGGGAAGGATGAAAAACTAGAAAGAAAGAGAAAATGAAAGATCTGTGATGATGACTAGGGGGCCTGCAGTCAGGAAGAACCAAGTTCAAATGTGACCTCAGACAGGTGCTAGCTGTGAGACCCTGGGCAGGTCACTTCACCCTCTTTGCTTCATTATCCTTACCTGTAAAATAAGGATAACAAGAATAGTACCTCCCTCCCAGAGTTATTGATCAAACGAGATCAGATTTGCAAAGTGCTTGGCACAGTGCTAGGCATATATTAAGTGCTATATAAATGTTAGCTATTACTATTCTTATTATTATGACAGAGAAATAAAGAAGTTAGGCAAGATTTGGGAGGTGAAACTGGCTTCACTGCCTTCTTGGGGACTAAACGGAAAGGGATTTCCTCCAATTACCAAGTCATTCATTCAAGAAGTACTTGTTAAGCACCTACTGTGTGCAGACCACTGTGTGTGCTAGGAAAGACACAAAGTTTAGATAAGATACAGACCTTGCCCCCCTGGAGCTTAAAGCCCTATCAGAGGCTAAGACAACATAGCACAGCTCTCTATAATAAAACACCTTATATGTACCTGCATCCAAGGTACCACATTTTGGGAAGGGCATTGACAAACTGGGAGGCTAACTGATATAATGAAAAGTCCCTGTAGGCCTCAGTTTCCTCACCTATAAAATAAGAGGACTGGACGAGATGGCTTTTCTAAGATCTCTTTCAGTTTTCAATCTATGATATTATGATATCCCGGAAAGCAGCCAGGATGGAAATGGAGGTGGGGTCCTCATCTTGTTAGTTCACACTTCTGAAGAGCTGTTACATGGAAGACAGCTTCTGAATGGCCCCAGGCAAAACACTGGAAGCAATGTACCGAAATTACAGAGGTGCAGATTTCTACCACGGAAGGCTAAGTGACAGCCAAGGATGTTGTAGCAAATTACACTAACTTCTAAGGTCCCTTGTCGCTCTGGGATTCTGTGATTTTATTCTGTTAGCCCACATGAGGGTCCCCAAATGGTCGCCGTGTTAGCACAGAGGAGTTGTGGGGAAGAGCAGTGCACCAAGAACTGGGAGAATTAGGAATGGCCTCTTGTAGGCCCTGGAGACGGAACAAACAATGTGTGCTAAGACACAGAGAAGACCGACAGGACAGTTGGGGTGGGCAGCGGCAGTGTGATTGCTGGGAGCAGTGTGGCATCAGCCTCTCTGCTGTCCTCTGGTCTCTCATCTCCAACTGCCTGACGGACATCTCAAACCGGTTGTCCTGAAGATATGAAACTCATCCTGTCCAAAACTGAACTCATGATCTTCCCCCCATCCCCCCGTCCTCACGTGCTAGATGGGCATTTCCATCATTGCATCCCTGGTCTACGCAACTAGTGAGTGCTAGGGGTCCTTGAAGGGGGCTCTTGGGGCTGCCCTTTGCCACAGGACCCCATGTCCCTTAGTTCTCTTCCTCTGCCCCTCCGTGGTCATTGTCACTGGCACAAGCAACAGTTCCCTGATGCCTACTGAATAAAGCACGAGCTCTGATGGGGACCTTTCACCTTGTCTCATGCAGAACCAGGTAGGCTACTCAAGGGCCACGGCCAAACCATGCCCCCTGCACTCAGGCTCTCTTTCTTCTCCTTCTTCTCTTCCTTCTGGGGCACTGGGCTCTGTCTGGTAACCTCTTCCGCCATCTTTGCCCAAAACAAGACACCACACCACAAAAGGTAAAGGCCTTCCCCAAGCACGTCACCGGGTGCGTGGCCCCTTGCCCCACCCCCTCCTCTTCACCTCTAGCTTCCTGTCTGTGTTTGTCTTCTCCCATTGGAATGGAAGCTCTGTGAGGGCAGAGGCTGCCTTGCTTGTATTTGTATTCTCAGCATTGAGCACAGTGCCTGATACACAAGAAATGCTTAATAAATGCTTGGATTCATTCACTCCTTTTCCCGCCACACAGCTGGGCTATCACTGCCTTCTGGGCCTCCTGGTGCTTTTTTCCACACTCACCTCAGCAGGGGTCTTTCAGGACTTCCTTGTTCTCTTTCTCCCAGAGGGCACAGATTCAGAACATTTCTTCTCACACCAAAATAGGGTGTCAGGTGCCATTTGGAACCTGGGAATTTTGCTAAAAAGGCAGTGGGACAGAAGAGTGTTAGTAAGAACAATACTTAGCTTTTTGGAGGGCTCATTGCGTATTCTGCCATGAACGTCCCCCAGCGCTGCATCATGGTGTGGCTGTGGCTCTGGGCTCCTGAAGGGAAGGATAAACAGGCTGTCATCAGAGTCGGATCCTAGCTATACTAAGAGAACATGACAAAGTGGGCCCCAGAGGGGATCCCTCCAGCACTGGATCTTTGGGCCAAAATGAGACCTACCAAGTAGGGTATGGGGCTACATTTGCCCTACAGCGCCTTACTTTGGTTGCAGAACTGTCTAGACAGGGTGAGACTGACTGCTCCCACCATTCCTAGGGACACTGACCCACATGCTCCTTTGTTCTGCTCAGCTAAGGCCCATATATGGCCTCCTGATGGTTCCTCACACATGACTCCATTTCCCCTCCCCATGCCTTTGCACTGGCTGTCCCCCCCACCTGGCATGCCATTCCTGCTCACCTCAGCCTCCAAGCTCTCTTGGCTTCTTTCAGGGCTCAGCTAAGTTCCTACCTTCTTTCTTCAGGAGGCTATCCCTGACCCCCAGCTTCTAGTGCCTTACCCCACCCTCGGTCACCTTGTATGGTGCTGGGTATACTGGTGTATGCATAGGTTGTCTCCTCCATTACAAAGTATGCTCCTTGAGGGCAGGGATTGTTTTAATTTGCCTTCATACCCCCAGCACCAGGAACAGTGTCTGGCACACAGCAGGACTTAACAAATGCTCGCTGACTGAGTGAATGGCGAGTTCTTGGGCCACAGCCCCTCTTGGGACCTTCTACCAAGTTGTAGAAGGGTTGAGACCTGCATCAGTGGAGGGTGTACTCACACAGAAGAAAAATTCCAAGGTCTCCCACATCTGACCCCTTCTGTTCACTCCTCCCTGCTCCCCCCGCCCAGTTCAGGCCCTCACTGCCTTTGACCTCCATTAATGCAGCAGCCTCCTGAGTGGCCTCCCTGCCTCTAGTCTCTCCCTACTCTAATCCATCCCATACATGGCTGCTGCCAGAGTGATTTTCTTTAATAGCTGTGCTGACCATGTGACACCCCATCCAGTTGCCTCCCAGGGCTCCCATTGCTTCTAGGATAAAATAAAAACACCTCTGTTTAATTTTTTCAGCCCTGCACAACACAGCCCCAACCTCTCCTTCTAGCCTCCTTCAAAAGTACTCATTCACCCTCCTTGAGAGCCAGCCAAACTGGCCTCCTCTCTGTCCCAAACACACAACTGACCCTACATCTCCCATCTCCATGCCTTTGCACTGGCTGTTCCAGATGCCTGGAACGCACTCCCTCCTTATCTACACTTCACAGAGCCCCTCTCTTCGCTTCAGAGGCAGCTCACAAAGCCCCCTCCCCCTATACCAGTGCCCTTCCTCTCAAAGACCTCTGTGTTTAACTACTTTGTGCATATTTGTATTTATTAACTTTCCACATCAACTTGTCCAAAATGGAAGTCATTATCTTTTCCCCCAAGCCCTTCCCTTTTCCTAATATCCCTATTACTATAGAGGGCACCACCATCCCATCCCTCAAGCTCCAAAGCTAGGAGGCATTCTGGACTCCTCACTACATCCCAGCCCTCCCTGCCCTCAATTCCAAGCTGTTGCCAAGGCCTGTTGACTTCACTTCCGCAGCATCTCTCAAACACTGCCCCTTCTCTCCTCTGACTCTGCCCCCACCCTAGTACAAGCCCTCATCACCTCACACCTGGACTACTGCAATAGCCGCTGGGAGGGCTGCCTCCTTCCCTCCAGGCTCTCCCCAGTCCAGTTCACCTCCAGTCAGTCAGCAAAGTGATCTTCCCAAAGTGCAGGTCTATGTTACCTTCCCCCGCCCAATAAACTGCAATGGCTCCCTAGTACCTCCAAAATCAAATATCAAGCCTTCTTATTGGCTTTTCAAGCTGTTCATGCTCTGCCCCCTCCTACCTTTCCAGTCTTCTTCTACCTTAGTCCTGCACACATCCTTTTCAATTCAGTGACACTGGCCTCCCGGTTGCTCCTCAAACAAGACCCTCCATTTTCTAACGACATTTTTTCTGGCTATTCCCTATGCCTGGAATGTGCTCCTTCCTCATCTTTGTCTCCTGGCTTCCTTGGCTTTCTATAAGGCCTAGCTCAAAATCCCATCTTCTGCAAGAAACCTTTCCTAATCCCCTGTTAATGCTGGTGATTTCCCTCGAAGATTGTTGTCGGTCAGTCGTTTTTCAGTTGTGTTTGACTCTCTGTGACCCCTTTTGGGGTTTTCTTGGCAGAGATACTGGGGTGGTTTGCCATTTCCCTCTCCAGATCATTTTACAGATGAGGAAACTGAGGCAAACAGGGTGAAATGACTTGCCCA